ATATTATAAATATTAAAAATTAATTTGCACATAAGTTTTATAATAACATATGTCTACTTTTTTAATAAAAATGATTTTTATTTTTCAAAATAAAAAAAATTATAAATAAAGGAGTCATTCCTACCTCTAGTCAATAAATGCTCTAAAGAGTATTTTTGTAAGTCATTGTCTCCCCATTGTAAATGCTCTAAAGAGTATTTGAACTTTCATACATTCTACACAAAATATTAAAAGTAAAGAATATATAATTAAAGTTTATTAAAAGTACAAATAAAAGTACAAATCTAAACTTTCATTATTTAAAAAAAGTATAATAAATGAGTGATTTTAATTAGAATATCTATATAAACAAAATAAAGAAATATTATTGCTTGATTCATGCTCTTTAGTCTTTACATAATCTACAATTTATTCACGGGAGAAAGACTAAAGTAGGACTAAAACATTGAAAATATACCAAAATAAGACTTTCATGTTTTTATTCTCGAAATAGGACTTGAAATACATTTACATTACCAAACATTGTCATGTACATTACCAAAAAGTATAGCAATGTGCACATATACAATGCCACATTACAACCACATTACCACGGTAAAGTCATATTTCGAAAAAAAACATAAAAGTCCTATTTTGGTACTTTTCTCTATGTTTTAGTTCTATTTAAGGTAATTTCTATTTATTCACCATACAATAAATAGTTCTATCCTTGAAATTTTTCATAAAATAAATAAATAAAACTTAAACGATACTAATCCAACACGCCATAAGAGTATTTCAATCCCATCTAAACTAAAATTACACACCATCACTAAAAGATCACAATATAAGGTAAGTGCAAAAGTAAACAAAAAGGATCAAAATGAACAAAAAAGAACAATATTAATAGTACAATATTAAGGATCACGAAGTATATTTTTGAGTACTGAGATTAATTTGAACATTTTGAAATAGTACAATACATGTTCTTTACAATACTTTGTCGTATAAGTCTGTAAAAAAAACTAAAAGAAAATCACTCACTAACTAGCAAAACATCAAAAAATTTACAAAACAAGTTAATATAACCCATATAAAATGCAATAATGCTGCTACATTTAACAATTAAAACACACAAAGTAAAAAAAAATGCGCGCGTACAACTAAATCCGGACGAAGGGAGTATACCTTACATAGGCTCTTTGGACTTGTTCCTTGTCCCGGACGAGACCGGTCTCCACTCTCGGATGCTTGGGAAATCATTGTTGTTCTTTGTTGGCCTCTGCAACCCGTTGCTCTTTGAGAACTGCGTGGCAGCTGCCCGGGCACCTGCAATTGCTGCAACTAGACTTTGGGACCTGTTTGGATTGACTGAAATAGGGGGATTGTTGGAGGAAGAAGAAGAAGCGCCGAGTGATTTCGGTTTCAGGGAGGATGGGTCCCGCTGTGGGTCCCGAAGGGGGAACTGTACCGGAAGCGGAGATGTGACCGGAGTTAGACCTCTAACTGCAGCCTCATACACCTGATTCAGATATGGGATATTCAAAAGTATTTATATTATTACAGATTGTATAGTGAGCATCTTTTTTTTTTTTTTTGGATAGAAGAGAGAGTTGTTTTCAACATACACCCCTAACATCAAATGAAAGTGGCACAAGCAAAATAAGAGCACTAACCAAAGAAGCACACATGCAGAAGCTACAGATTAAGTCACAAAACAGAGCTCCAAGGCCTAAAGGTACAAACTAAGGGCGGATTTCTACTCCTTGCCAGACTATGATTATAGCTCAATTTACCTCCTATCATTAGGGATGGGGTTCATCCGTTATAAGGCCCAAAGGTGTATATCGAGCCACCTTGAACCTAGACCTCTAGCTATTCCTATCTAAGGCCATATATTTGGTAAGACCCAAAAGTCACAAGTCATATTGAACCAACAACTCTTCCTAGGTCTACCTCTACCACTCTTCCCAACAACTCAAGAATCTTGCACCTGCTCGATGATTTAAGAAAAAAGCAAGGAAGCAGAGTAAAAAGTCCCCAACAATATGAAATCAGTCCATAGTACATACCTTCCTTTCCAAGTTATAAACACCTTGACGTCCCCGCATTTCGAATGGAATAACAAGTTTCTGCAACAATCATCAAATCAATTTTTAATTGGGTGTATAGGAACCAAACACAACATGAAATTCACGAGGAGTTTTTAAACCTGCGGCTTCTCACAAAGCCAGCAAAAATCAGTCTGTCCTTCGAGTCTCACCTGTTGATACAAATTGTGACATGAATTTGCAAGATACAAATAATTGCAACGCAACAAAATGCGATTAATAAATTAATAAATTAATTAATAAATTAATTAACCCACCCCTTCTGGAATCTCTTCCCAGCTCACGAGTTCTTCGCGAGTTACACACCCAACTACTTCAACACAGCCTGCACAGTGATGAAGTTGTGGAAGATAAACACATAACCATAATTAGAAAGACAAATCGCCCCGGATTACTTAATTACAATGGCGAATAAGGTACCTAGAAGTCTTGAGACAGGATAATGCTCGGGAAACTGGAGATTGGTTATGCCATTAACTGCATATATCTCCCTATAAAAGTCCTCCATTGCTTTGATTGTCTCTGGTTCGGGCACCTTACCGGCAGCATGAATCCATAATCTCCCTTCATGAATAAACCAGTATACACCAGAAAAAACCCAAATTCATCTTTACAAATTAAATTCGAAAAACACAAATAATTGATCGGAAATTGAGAGAAAACAGGTTAGGGAGAGGAGATCAAACGGACCTGTAATGGGGGAAGGCCAAGACCTGCCTTCGATGCGTTTGATGCCGTGAACGAGCAAGGAAGCCCATGGCTGATGCATAGTGAGGCATGGGTTTGTGTAATTCCCGCCCCTCGACATTACTGCTGCTTTCTGTAGATCTTTTGAGGCTGCAAATTAACTGATGAAGAATCGGTCTTTGTGATGGCAGCTAAAGTGGGAAACTCAGTCTTCTGAGGATTCTCAACCGAGAAGACGGAGAAACAGACTAGGTTTTCCAGGTTTCCTGAAACAGAAAATAAGAGTAATTCAAAAGTTACTCCTTCTATTCTTGACTATTTGTCTACTTTTTATTTTTTTCGGTTAAAATCAATAACTTTGATATAAAAAAAAAATGATACTTCGTATTAGATATTGATACAAAAAAAGTTTTATTAGATTTATTATATCAAATATTTTCATAATATTATTTTATTTAATTAAAATACATTGTATATTTTATTTAATTATATGTCAAAAGTTAAAAACAGTTGACTGAAAAAAGTCAAAACTGGACAAATACTCAGGGACGGAGGTAGTATATCAATAGATGAGATTTGAGTTGGAAATTTGGAATTAGTTTCAGCTTTGTTTGGGAATATCGTTTTCGATTTCTAAAAGGATGAATATTTTTGTATTGACGACTTTTTCCAAAAATACTTTTGATTTGATGAGTAAAAGTATGATGTGATGTGTGGATTATTAGTAAAAAGGTATGATCTGATAGGTAGATTAAGAATCAGTAGACACAAAAGTGATTATTTTAATTGAAATGAGAAGGATTTTGTGGGACAAGTAAAGATGAGAATTTTTTTCATCGTAAATCCCAACTTGTAATCAAATTTGGGATGAAGGGAGTCCAATTGATCGGGCACGGATTTTAAGAAACGTAAACTTGTGTTGTTGAAAGTGGTGAATATGAGAAAAGTAATACTCTTTAATATATACAAAAAAATTTATAAACATAGAAAAATAAATTTTTTCACAATTGATAAAAAGGAAATTCAAAACAACGAGACAAAGGCAATAGTTCATTATAGGGGTGGACGTGAAATCCTTTTCCGTTAGCTCATCTTGGAACGTTCTATTACCGTTTTGTAATTATACCATTTTATTAGGGATACATCATTTTTGTCCCAAAACTGTCCCAACCAATTTTAAATTAGATAATAGTGGAACAACATAAAAATGTACCGTTCTGTCCCGCTTATATACTTTTATACCTCCTCCGTTCCCATTTTTGTCACCTCTTGTTATGTAGAACTTTGAATGTCTTTTTTAAAATGCAAATTCATTTCTTATTGATATACCGATTTGTAAATAAAATGATTTAAAAATTTGTGAAATTTTACATCATAATTTCTATTTTGTAATCAAAATAGAGACGGAGGGAGTAATTTAATAATATACAGAGTATTATATTTACAGTATATCCGACGGGTTCTCATGTCACGAGATAACCCGGGATTGCGAGAGTGATGCATTCGTAAAATTGACGATTCCTACCCTTTCTAACCTCATTAGCGGATCTGCCATATATTAGTTGGGGGCCAATGCCCCCCACTAATTTTTGCAACTAAAGTAATTTTTGTAACTCATGTTCATTGCCCCCAACAAAAATTGTGTAAACTACGTTCCAATTCATAATTTCTCTTATCATATATATTAGCAAGTAAAAAAATACAATAATTGAAAAATAAAATATTAGAGTAAAGAATAGCCTAAGTTTGCAGGAAGTAGGGAGACTCCATTAGCACATAAGTTCTTTTCCTCCTTCTATTCCTAAATGTTTACCACATTTCAAAAAAATGAGGCAAAATATTAAATTTTTTCAATTTATTTTATTTAGACATTAGTATATAAATAAAAACAAAAATTTACATATTTAAAAACTACATGAAAAGTTATCGAAATAAGAGGTGTCAAGAATATTTTATTTTATCAAATAATCAATAAAAATGTACAAGTAAACAAAAGTTTTCGTGATTGTTGAAAAAAGAAATGTGGCAAACATTTTGGACTGAAAGAGTATAAAATTGTGCCCCCAACTATTTTTTATTCTGGATCCGCCGCTATCTAACCTCCTCACTAAACTCTCACTTCGTCCCACCCAATGTGACAAAATGGATTAGGCTCGTGTGGAAATTGGCCCACCCATGCTAACCTTTAGCTAGGGTTTACTCTTCACGTCAATAAATAAAGCCAAATGTATATTCATTTTCTATTCATTATCCAATAGACGGAATCCCATCCGTTCCAATTCCCAATCATTCAGCCATGGGCTCCCGCTACAACAGGAACTACTCCTCAGCGCCGCCGCAGCAGTACTCCGGCTCCGGCTCTTCATCGGTATCCGCTGCTGTTTCTCTCATTCTCTCTTCTATACATGCAACTAAAGCTGTTTATAGTTTCCGATTTCGATCTACCGTTACAAATCAACTTCATAAGCCTCAGTTTCTTCTTCTCGAATTGTCTCGAGAATTTTTGACTGCATTTGCTCAATCTGATGCCATTGATATCCCCATTTTAGGGACCTTACACTCTGCAATGCGATGGCGCACCCAAAGGAAATCCAGGGCGAGCTGGCGCTGGTGCTGTTCTCAGAGATCCCTCTGGCAATGTGGTAAATACTCTGTTTCATTTTCATTTTCATTTATGTGTTGTTGTTCTTAGTTATAATAAGTGAATTACCAAATTTTGCTATGAATATCATCCATAGATTCTTCTACCACGCATGCAAACTTTGACAATTTGTATGTCATCAAAGGCACATTAAGTTAGTATCCATCTAGAGTTTCAACATTTGGATTCATACTTAAAAAACTATAGAATTTTTAAAACAGGTTAAGTTTCTTTGTTTTAAACACATAATTTGATATAAACTACATTTGATTTGAAAATCATACACCATAAAAGTTGGGCCTAATTTTTTTCGGGCCTTGTGCAGTTGTGCATATGCCCTGAATATTAAGGATGGTCATCATAAGAATAATTGAAGGGCATACATGATAAAGTTCTTGAATGTTTGCAGGTTTTCAGGACCAGCCAAGGGTTGGGTAATACAACCAACAATGTAGCTGAATATGAGGCTCTGAAGTTGGGAATGGATCAGGCTCTCAAGTCAGGGTGCACCAACATCCGTTGTTCAGACAGATTCTAACCTTGTTTCCCAGCAGGTTATGTGTTTTAATTATTAAACACGAAGAAATGCAATCTGATTTCTGAACATTTTATGTGGAACCTTGATTTGCGGTGGAGGAGCACTGTTCCAAGTCATATAACGTCTTAAAAGTTTGGAGTCTGAAACCTTTTCTTCTCATACTTTACCAACTTTCTTACCTTGAGGTGTTCTCTGAACAGGTTCAAGGTTCATGGAAGGTGAGAAGTGACAACCTTGTTCCCTTGAACAATGAAGTACAGAATATGAAAAACAACTTCGATTCATTCGATATTCAGTATGTTCCAAGGGTAAGAATTCCCCTTTCGGCTTAATGATATTCACATTCTTTTGGCATCTGTTTATTTATTTGTTTTCCCATAGGGAATGAACTCTGATGCTGATAGCCTAGCAAATGCCGGAGTTAATCTTCCTGGTGAGTCCAACTTTTCACTTTCAAAGCTCAACAAGCTCTTGTATACTGTACATTTTATGTATTATATTTTTCATTGTTGTGGATTCTGGCTCCTGTTTCAGAGGGGAAGATCGAAACTGAGTATTATGGCGTTGGCCGGAGGTACTAGGCCATATGATATCAGAGGTGGCAGGCATTTTGTGACACTCCATCATCTCTACACGTCGTCTTCACGTATGATTGTATGGCTTGGCTATAGTATACTCTAGTGGTCTACTAAACTTCTCTTCTCTTTGAGTTATGACTGAAGTTCTTTCTCAGTTGTATGCATTTTTCAATTGCATGTTTGAACCCACTCAAGTGATCTTGGTTATTTCAAGTAATTTTCCTGTTATATAGCTAGTATGGAGCCTGCACTTGGTGACTCTTTAGCATAATTGTCTATCAATGCATTTGTTAAAAATTGAAGTCATGTGTATCCTTGGGAGTCTTTGCCTTGCCATTTGTGCTGCACTCAAGGGTCCTTACCATGCACCGACCAATCCTGTAATGTTATCTCATTTCTACCATCAAGTACTCACAAACTATTAAATCACTTGCAACACCTACCCACGAGTATCTTAAAATTTTTTATTTTTTTTTAAATTTAAAATAAATAAAACAATTAATGGTAACCTATCATGCTACAATTTGGATGCAAAATTTGCCTCGCAAAGGTTCGCCTTGCGGCATCCTACCCACATAGGTGAGGGTGAATTTGCTTTGTGGTTTGGAAGTCGTGAAGCTTACTCATGGGGTACCCTGTCCACTCTTTGTGGATAAAAGATAAGGTATAGAATTTAAAAGTTTGGGTCTCTTGATGCCCGTGGCGGGTTGTGGACGGGTTGCCCCTTGAGTCTAGCCCCAAGATTCGTCTTAAATACTCCTCCCGTTCACAAATAAACTTCCATTCACTATTTACAGTGTCAAACTTTATTCATTTTGTTGACATATTTTTATCACCCATTTGATAAAATAATATAGTTATGTCAGTTCTAGTTTTGTAAATCTTTTGATATAGTTTTTTTAGTATGTAATTTTATTTTTTAAATTTTACATTATTTTTCATATAAAATGATCTAAAAATAATTTCAGTAGAATATCGTAACGCGCAATGGAAAGTTTATTTGTGGAAGGAGGGAGTAACTTTTTTGTTTGTACTTTTGTTTTTGAGTCAGAGAGACTTTTAGAAATAATTTTTTCCAATATCTCTAATTTTGGGATGAATGTATATATTCGCTTTGTCCCATAAAGTTTTTTACAGTATATTGTAACTTTTTTTGGTTAAACCTTATACTTTATTACTAATTTTAACCATAAATTATAAGAAATGCATTTAGTTATAAAAATTTAAAATAATTGGATTAATTTTTAGATGTACGTATAAGGGATGAGAATTTTTATTTTCATTTTTTTCTTGAGTATTAGGGGCTGTTTGTTTCAGCCTCTTAATGGTTCGGTTCAGATGTCTGAATGGTTTAGCACTTAATGGTTCAGACTGTTTGTTTCAGCCTCTTAATGGTTCAGATGTCTGAATGATTAAGAGATTTGCCTCTGAATGGTTAAGTATTATACAGAGTCTGAATGGTTAAGACTTCTTATCTGAATTGATCAGACATTTGCCTCTGAATAGTTAAGCAATATACTAGCTCTTAATGGTTCAAACCTCTTACTGGTTCAGCACTTAATGGTTCAGACCTCTTACTGGTTCAGCACTTACCCATTCAGAAGTTGCCAAACAGCCCCTTAGTCTCATCTCATTCGAAAAAGAGAGTGGTTCAATCTCACATTGGTCGATTTCAAAAAATGTTGAATGCTCTGTAAGTATTTATGTACACCCATAATTAAAATAGCTTTACCAAAATATTGCGAAGTATGAACACTACTAAGTACAAACTAAAATTTGGACAAAATCCTGAGTACAAACCATCGTCTCCATTGGTAAAACACTAGCATCGTACCGGTGCGATGCACGGGAAGCATTTCATTATTATATTTGTCATTAATTAAAATTTAATTAAGAGTTTAATTCATCACCTCTTATTTTCTAGAACTTTTGAGATAATTTTTAAATATATTATTTCTATTTTTTTTTATTTCAATGCAAATTTATAAATAAAATCATTTTAGAAGTTACGAAATTTTGCACGTTGATTTAAAGAGCAATTCATTTTGAAAATGAGGGAGTATATGAACAGGTGGTACGCCCACCTCGAGCGCCCCACACTCCGGCACGATTTGTGAAGTGATAAATCATGGTATAATCTCAATCTGATCTTTAGAGAGGCTGCCCTGTGTCCGATGCACACAAATAACTATTACAAAGAATAGAACTCCCACACTGTAGTTGTTGGAATTCGACCTCAGGACATATGAGTTGACATCCTTTCTTTAAATAACTTAGGTTACCCAAGGGTGCGGAAAGAGTATATAATGATGATTGATGGTGCATAAACGGAATAGTGCAAATGGTCCATAAATTTATTGTCATTGGGCCTGTTTGAGAATAACGTTATAGATTAGTGTTATCGTTTTGAAAAAAAATAACATTTGTAAAATAATTTAGGCCGTTAAAATTTTATCTAAAATGCTAACGATAATAATGATATTCAAATGAGCATTTGTCTTTTTTTTATTTTTAGTAGACGGTTCGGGTTTGAAAAGAAAGCCAAAAAAGGAAGGCAATACAGTGTTGACTCCACCCCATAGTTTTCTCTCTCTCTCTCACAGCCCCACGGCGTTCATTTGGTCCCGGCAGAGCATCCATTTTCATCTCCCGCTTCCATATCCACACGTTCTCCAGAACTTTAAATCCTTCTTATTCTTCTTCTTCCCCGGAGATGCTAATCGGCCACTTTATTCTCCCTTTCTTCTACTTCTCCGTCAATCTTCTTGACCTGTAATCTAGCTCGCACTCGTATTCTACATACAATACATACCCCACCCCTTTACAAGCGCCGAAGTTTACATGGATTCTTTGTCTCTGGATGATATAATCAAGAGGTTGCTGGAGGTCAGGGGAAGACCTGGGAAGCAAGTTCAGCTCTCCGAGTCTGAGATCAAGCAGCTGTGTATGCGTTCCAAGGAGATTCTGTTGCAGCAGCCCAATCTTCTCGAACTCGAGGCCCCCATCAAGATCTGCGGTATGAATTTAGGGTTCAATTCTGTTATTTCTCTGTTTGGAATTGTCTCTTGTGATGATGCCTTTTGAGTTGTGGTTGAATTTTCCGTGTTTTGGTCATGATTGATTAAGCCGAATTGAAGTTGAGTTGTAGTTGAAATTTAGGGGTTCTGGACGGTGAGATTGGTTGTTGTTAGTCTTGGACTAGAAAATAACTACTAGTATGTGTTTGGTTAAATTTTGTATAGTTCTATAGAGTTTTTTCTCCGAACATCTCTCCGAAATCCCCTAACCAAATAAGGGCTAAGGTTATGTTCAACTTGATGCTTGGATTCTGTTATGGACTGAATCCATTGCAAGGTATGGGACTTGTCCCACATCGGTTGTATGGGCAATTGATGTGGGGTTTATAGGCCAAATGGGTTCCCTCACCTATCAGACTAGTCTTTTGGGTTGAGTTCTTCCGTTTGGTCTGTATCAATGGTATCAAAGCCAACTCGGAGTGGTAGCCTACAGAGTGGTGGCCTAGTGAAACCAGCCGTGACCAACGTGGCCGTGACCAATATAGCTATGACCAACGAGGACGTTGGGCCTTATGGGGGGTCGAATGATACGGACTGATTTCATTGTCCCACACAGGTTAAATGGGGGACTTGGTGATGGGTTTATATGGCTAAGGGTTCTCCCACCTTAACAGCTAGCTTTTAGGGTATGACTCTCCCTTGTGCTGTAACAGTGGTATCAGAGCCAACCTCGTAGTGGTGGCCCATGGAGTGGTGGCCTGGAGAGAGCCAGCCGTGACCAACGTGGCCGTGACCAATGAGGACGTTGGTCCTTAAGGAGGGGCGAATGTTATGGACTGAAACCATTGCAAGGTATGGGACTTGTCCCACATCGGTTGTATGGGCAATTGATGTGGGGTTTATAGGCCAAATGGGTTCCCTCACCTATGAGACTAGTCTCTTGGGTTGAGTTCTTCCGTTTGGTCTGTAACAGATTCATTGGGGCTGAGTGTATTGATAGTTTATAATTTTTGCTAGTCGTACTGTATTCATATAAAAATTTGTACCTTATTGAAACATGACTGTTCTTATGAGACTGAGGAGTAGTTATTAATGTATTTTATTAGTGAAACCTCAAAGTTGAATTAGAACAGTTGATTATTCAGCTTTAAAACCATATTATTATCTGCATTTCCTACAATTCTCCACATAATTGAGCTTAATGTGTACAATTTGCTTTTGCTATGTTACTATGTTAGAAACTATTGTGTTTTCCAAGTCAAGGTGCTATAAATTCATCTTTAAGATGATTGGGTTAGGCACCTTATTTAATTCGACAATGGCCACTTTTCTTTTCATATCAATTTAAAGTTCCAAATACGGAGTATGTCTTATTTGTAGTCCTGCACCCTACACTGTACTTTTGAGGTGCTTGTCATAATGCAAGAACTTATTTTTGTTGCAATTGCCTTGTAAGGTGTACACACACACTCACACCCAATGAAGCATTTGTTCTATTCTTTACATCTTCATCCTAAAATACTACGGAGTATATTTTTTTACAGTTTTACATGTATTGCGATATTTAATGAAAAAGAATCAAGTATGACTTATTTTACAAAATCATCCATTTGAGAGGGTCGGGACTTCAAATCATTTCAAAAAGTTAAAAAGCTAGTAAGAGTGGATTGGGAAAGTAAAAACTCAATTGTGTTTAGATAATACAATGAAAGTTTTTTTTAGAACGGACTAAAAAGAAAAATGAGCAAAATAAAATAAGGCAGCGGGAGTATAATTAGGTCCTCTTCGTGATCAAACACTTATGCAGGGGATATTCACGGCCAGTATTCCATTATAAAGGTCCTTTTGTTTTGACTAAGTGATCGCTTTCAGCCCTTCCATCATGATCCCTTCACACTTACATCAATCCAGTGATATTGTACTTTGTTTGTGTTTTTTGTTGCAGGGGATATTCACGGCCAGTATTCTGATTTACTAAGGCTCTTTGAATACGGTGGCCTACCTCCAAGTTCTAACTACCTGTTCTTGGGGGATTATGTGGACCGCGGGAAGCAAAGTCTAGAAACAATATGCCTTTTGCTTGCATACAAGATAAAGTATCCTGATAACTTTTTCCTTCTGAGGGGCAACCATGAATGTGCTTCTGTAAACCGTATATACGGATTCTATGACGAGTGCAAAAGGAGATTTAATGTTCGGTTGTGGAAAATATTCACAGATTGTTTTAACTGCCTGCCCGTGGCAGCACTGATTGATGAAAAAATTTTGTGCATGCACGGTGGGCTTTCTCCAGATCTGCATGATTTGGATCAGATAAGGAACCTGCAACGACCTACGGATGTTCCCGAAACCGGTTTGCTTTGTGATCTACTGTGGTCTGATCCTAGTAAAGATGTGAAAGGGTGGGGGATGAATGATAGGGGGGTCTCCTACACTTTTGGTCCTGATAGGGTTACTGAGTTTCTTGAGAAACAAGATCTTGATCTCATTTGCCGTGCTCATCAGGTCTTGTCCATATATAGTTTGTTTTATAATGTTTATATTGGATTTCTTTGGTCGGCATATTTTGGAATGGATTGGAGTGTCAATATTATTTATTTGCTTATAATAATTTGTTTCTATTCGTTAGTCTTCAGTTAGAAGATAATTACTTCATCCGTCTCAAAATAAGTGCTTTTGAACTCTTATAATTTCTCCTAAAAAAGGGTCAAGTTTAAGTTATTTTTTCATGGGCCTATGTGTCAAAAAACTTCATAGATAACATACATATGATAAATTTAGTCAAAACGACGAATAAATTTAAGTTTTAAAGTATGGTTCATTATTTAGCCAACATGTACCGTACCAAATTTTAAAACCTGGACATTGGTCACACATCACTCTCTTTTGGGGATGGGGCTAGTTATGTTTGGTTGAATCGTGTTTTTCTATTTAACTTTTCATCTTCACTTCTTTTTCCAATCATTTAATTAGAAGAGTAAATTGATAATAAAATGAATATTACCCTCTATAAAATCCCCCAATCATCTAACGTCTTAGTCTTATTATCTTTCTCCTTACTATAACGCAGGTTGTTGAAGACGGATATGAGTTTTTTGCTGATAGACAACTCGTAACGATATTCTCCGCTCCTAATTACTGCGGGGAATTTGACAATGCTGGTGCCATGATGAGCGTCGATGATACTTTGATGTGCTCTTTTCAGATATTAAAGCCTGCAGAAAAGAAACCTAAGTTTTCATTTGGTAGCACTACAACGGCTAAGCCAGGAAACTCTCTAACTAAAGCAAAGGTAGTCTCTCTCTCTCTCTCGCCTTACACTTTGCAAAGGAATTGAGTTTTTTTGATGAAAGATTGCGTCTTTCTGATTACAAAATGTATGCTAGAATTTGTGTGAGATAAACAAATATAACACTTATGTTAGTATGGCATTAGCACTAGGTCAATGTTCTATGGTTGCAAGGTGGGGTTTTACTCCGCAGTTCTTACCCTAAAGAGTGAAGACATAAAAATAATGTGTGAGAGCATGCAATGTATGAGTTTTATAAAACTCAATCCTTGTGCATATCAATATTCTGTAGTCATTTAAAAATTAAGGCTAGAAGACAAAATTTGCATTACTGCTATTCAGATATAAATTATTTTATTTTTGTTTGAAACATTAGTACTGATGGGAATATTGAGACCGGTCTAAATATGTATATGTATAATGGGTTGGTAAGAGAATGCAGCCCACGTGAAATGGATTGGGCTAATCTGACCGGGAAGTGAGGCAGGGAATTAGTCACATGATATGTTGAGGTAAGCACTAGGGTTAGGAGACTAAGAGGTGATTTCCTATGTTCTCCTTGTGTCCCCATGTCTTCCAGGGACGTGAGAGAGACAGTTTATTGAGCTTCTCCCGTACATTCTATTGCTTTCGATCCAATTGTTACGTCATTGTTCTGATATTCTGGTGGATTACCGTCAAATACAATCTTGGTTACAACTGATGGTATGTCGTGGATGTAGTTATATGCATCCTTTTTTGTAAAACTGAAATAAAGTGGCTTTCTAGTTGCTTATAAAGAACCCAATTGCCAATTGATAAGAAGAAACATTCTTCTATCAAACATGGACCGATTGTGCTTCTGAGGAGTGAAGTAGTTGCCCCAAAAAACTTTACTACAACATGTTTCATCACTTAATTCATGCTCCAAGAAATCTTTTCTTTTTGGTACCACTTTTTTTTTTCTTCTTGTCATCTAAATCTGGCATGGAATAGATTTTTGATGCATCTGTGTGTTCATTTGTTTATTGACAGAATGATTTTTTGTTGTCTGCAGTCTCTTCTTGGTAGAGACTGAAAGAAATGTGGCCAGAAGGGTGTAGAGCATATGACGGCCAACCAGCCCACGGGACGATAACATTGTATTTCCCTGAATTTCTGTAAGAACTTGTTTTTTTTCTTGCTTAGGTGCATCTGTAAAAAAAAAAAATATTAGTAGCCTGTCTGGCGGGTGGTTACGACTTTGGCCCTTTGGCTCAGACTCAAGAAACGGTTTTACTGACCTTTTAAAAAAACTGTAACCAAGGGAACCTATTTGGTGTGATCTCATATACTTTGGGCAAAAAAGTTGGCATTATTAATCTTGTAATAAGTGGCGACAGTAATCCAATGTTCCTCCATAAGCTAAAACTGAATTGTGTAGTCTTGGGAACAATATAAGTAGACTGAGGTCGGTTCCCAGATGACCCGAGCCCGAGAGTGCTCTTTTAACTCCAAAATCAAAATTAACTTAGGTGTAAGTGAAGGAAGTAGACTTATACAAACAAAAAAACACCACATAAATGAGTGACCTACTTTATGTTTTGCGTGTTTGCACTCTAATAAATTTCAACATGTTTGATTTATTTCATATTTTACAAATTTATTATCAGTCACACAATTAATGCATCTGCTCTCAAGTTACATGAATAAAAATGAAATGGGTAGGGAAATTGCGTTCAGGGGTCGGTTCATTTGCTTTGATTTCTCAGGTTGGTTAACTTTAAAAAACTACAAATAAAAAATTGACAAAACCTATGAAGAAAACCGGACCCAAAGAGCCTTAAATCCCATACACAAACATCAGAAGTTTGATCATATCAAGGCATATAATTACTGCGCACTCTGCCTTTCTTTACTTAAGACATGTGGCTGACTCAAGTCATGCCTGGCAGCATTTCTTTTTTAATGATTTTTTTTTGTAACAGCAAACAAAAAACAGAGCACAAAGAACACATTCATAAATTAGCTCTGATATAATACTAATACTAATATTCATTAATGGGAAAGTGTGGAGTAATATGGCCGAGGATTATGGTAATGGCAACACTAATACTAATACTCCGTAGTAAATAGTGTGGAGTACTAATGCACTAATAGTAGTAGTATCATCTCCGACAAACTAGCAAAGTAAACAAACAATATGTACATCAGATTATTACTCCTACTACAATAAACTCCATATAGTACTAGCTACTTTCCCCCATCCGTATGGAATACGGAGTACTATATATACGGTACGAAGTACTAGTATATACGGAGTACGTCTGTTTGAAAATAGCGTTAGAGATTAACGTTAGTGTTTTGAAAAAGTTATTTACGGGCAGCGTTTAGCGTTTTCAAAGTAATCTGCACCATTAAATTTTTATCCAAAACGCTAACGCTAATCTCTAATGTTATTCTCAAACATGCCCTACATAATACTAGTAGTTAGGCTAGAACACCGACTCCCCTGCTTTCTCCATTGCTTGTCATCCATGGATGCCCTGCACCACATCAAAAACATGTTAATACCCAAACCGCCAAACGTATTTCATGTCCATACCCGTTTATTTATTTTCAATATATTAAGAAAGTCATAATTAATAATTATCAACTAAAGAAAATCAAAGGAAATATGTGGTTTATTAATGAGTAAATTCCATAATTGGTCCTTTATAATAGGGGGGTTTCCATATTTAGTCCCCTATTATCAAATATTACCCCCGTAGTCCTTTTTTTAAGGGTACCTTTCCACAAATGGTCCTTTTTTTGATCTTCTACCGTGTTGGTGTTAATTTAAAGGCTAAAAATATAATTTAACGTCAACATTATGTCTAGTGACGTGTTCTGATATTGCTTAAGCGGATAACACAAAAATAATGACTATGATTGTGGGCTAGGATTCTGACGAAAGATCACATTTGTAGACTATAGTTATCGTAAAAAGCGACTGTAATTCACAAACGACGCAAACGGAACAGCCTTTGGAATTGTGTATGACAAAAAAGATATATTATCATTGTGAAATTACATTTTTAGCCCTCAAATTAACACCAACATGATAGAAGATCAAAAAAGGACTATTTGTGAAAAGGTACCCATAAAAGAAGGACCACTTGGGTAATATTTGATAATAGAGGACTAAATAGGGAAACCCCCGTTATAAAGGACCAATCATAGAATTTACTCTTTATTAATCTAAGAACTTTTAGTCACGACTCTTTTTCCAGTATTTATTTTAATATTTGTGAAGTATTAAGCCTGGCCAAGAATTATGTTTTTTTTAAGTAGGACTATGACTTGAAATCTAAATAAAGTTGGTCAATGCCCCAAAATTTTAAAACACGGTTGGAGAACTTATAGTCAAATATGCTCATTATAGTCAAAGTCGACTTTTTTTTTGTTTTGGTTTTGTACGGTATTCAGTTTTGCTATCATTGACAAAGAATTTGGATCAAAATTAAAGTTCGTTTCACTAACAAACTCTCTCCAAGAAGAGAGGAAGATGAAATTTTAGTTCTTAACATAAAAATCATAGTCCCTCTGTTCTTCATAGATCATTCCAAACATTATTTACAGGATTAAATTTAACTTATTTTGTTTGCTTATTTTTATTATTCATTTCACAAAATAATATAATCTTGTCACTTCTAGTTTTATAAAATTTTTCATGTAGTTTTTTACTATATATTTTATTTACAATTTTATCTCTATAATCAAATAAATTAAATTAAAAATAAAATTGATTATGTCTCATAGTGTGTAATGAGAATATCTTAAATGGATGAGGATTAACATGTAATACTACGTAAGAGGCAAATATAACATCGCAAAAAAGTTATGCTAGGATAAATATAGAGAGAAAAGATAAGTAAATTAAATACTCCCTAGTAAATGCATATGGACTTACTCAGCACTTGTTCAGCCGAGAATCTTCTGGAAACGTCCTTGCAGAGCATCCTCCGGAGCAGATCCTTAGCTTCCGGCGATACGGCGCTGAAGATCCTCAACGGAAACCGGAGATTGGCTCTGAGTACGGCTTCGAAGATTTTTTCCGCGGAGTCCCCGTAAAAAGGCGGGACTCCGGCGAGCATTATGTACAGAATGACGCCGGCGCTCCACACGTCGACCTTCTCCGTGTAGTCCCTTCCGGCCAACACCTCCGGCGCCACATAGTATGGCGTCCCCACCACTCCGCTCATCAGCTGGCCCTCACCGAAACACTCAGCCGAACCGAAATCGGCTAGTTTCATCTCCCCCCACTCGTTGTAGAGCACGTTTTCCGGTTTGATGTCCCTGTGAGCAACGCCGAGCCGGTGACAATGCGCGATCGCCTCCATTAACGGTGCCTATGAAGCATTTTAGACCAAAATAACAAATAAATTCAGAAATCCACATCAAATTCCGTCAAAAACATAGATGAATTTCAAATAAAAAAAACAAATTAAATTTTCATCAAATAAATCTACAATTAGTGGAGAGTATTCCTGATTAGGAATTAAAATTTCTCTACAAAATCAAAATCACTGTTGCAAAAAATACGGAGGAGCTATTACTCCCGTCCGTACTAAATCAATCAGAATGCAGCAGCTTCGATGAATCGACCGTACAGAGAATCGGCAAAAAAGGGGGGAAAAATCAAGGATCTGAGAAACAGTACCATAACGGTTAGGGCTTCGGCCTCGGAGAAGACAGGGCGGGAGGAGATACGATGGAAGAGATCGGAGGACGCGCAGAGCTCGACGACGAGATGGAGGTGATCGTCGTCCTCGAAGACGTCGAAGATGCGGAGGGCGTAGGGGTTGGAGGAGAGACGCAGCATGACCTTGGTTTCGTTGAAGAGGCATTGTCTGTCGACGGAGTCCTCGGCGATGAGTCGCTTCTCGATCGATTTGACGGCGAACGCGTCGCCGGAATCCGGGGAGTAGCACTTGAAGACGACGCCGAACCTCCCCCGGCCGATCTCCTCGCAGACTCGGTAGCTCCGGTTCAACTCAGCGCTCATACCGCAGTGTTTTGGTGTGGGCCTCTTTCTCTCTCTGGAGGGGTTTGCCGGAGAAGTTGTTTATGTAGAGAGGGAGACTTGGAATTTTTACCGTGGAATATCAGGTAAAAATATTTTTAGAGCCAATGGGAAGCTGCCATTTGTAGCTTTCGGATTAAACCTGGAGCAAACGCCGTTAACTCCAAGGGGAAATTTATCTCTATTTGGATTTTGGGGAACGGGGAAGCTTTATTCTTACGGAGTACGGACTACGGAGTATTGGAGCAACGGTGCAACGCTCTCAACTGTTTCTGTCCCATTAGAGCACTGGAAATACCCGTGAAGCCCCGGGGCTTCAAAATTTTTCTCTCTGCCACGTCAGCTTTAATTTACCTCACAGATTCAGTGGAAATGGGTTTGAAGCCCCGGGGCTTCAAACCTTCATTTTTTACATTTTTAAATATACATATTCTAAAACTAAATTAATAAAATTTAATTTTTTCATTATATTGAAACAAGAATAATAAAAAAATACATTCATTAAATTTAAAGAAATTGAAACGACAATAATTTTAAAAAATTACATTCATTAAATTAAAAAAAGAAAGTGACATTAATTTAAACGACAATAATTCATTAAATGAAAATAATTAACTTCAACAAAAAAAGAACATTTAATTAAAAAATTACATTAATTAAATACTTAAAACAAATTATATTAAGCTTTGATCTCGTTATGTCTTCTCTCTAAAGTAGATTATATTCAATTGGTCATTTGACTCGAGACCGGACAAATGAACAAAAAAAATGAAGACATTCATGTTAAAAAAGATGAAAAAAATTGAATATTTTTTTTTTAAATTTGAAGAAGATAGAGGAAAAGATTTTGTGGGTGTTTAATTTTTTTAAAAATAATTGAAGAAGAAAGATTTTGTTTGTGAGGTTTATTTTTAAAAAGAATAAATTGAAGAGGAAAATATTTTGTGGGTGTTTA